GTCCCTCACACTGGCCTTCCATTTTTGTAAGACATATTAATAGGTTCAGTTTATGTGTATTCTTAATATTTTGTTGGAAAATAGGGGATTTCCACACCCCATTTAAAAAAAAAGTATTTGTCTTAAAACAAATACTTTTTTAGCATCATATTAATTGCTGCCAAGAATAAGCATGCATATGTGAAGAGGGTGAAAATATGTTTGTCAGAATGTTGATTATAATTCATTTTCTGCTCTTTTATATGCCGTTGAATCTCTTTGTAATGACATTATGTCCCGATCTTGCAAATAGTTTTGTTGTAAAAAGGTTGTTTAAGTAATTATAAAATGTATATTTAGATCTACATAATCAATCATGCTTAAATGTATAAATGTCTTAAAATTTTACTTATTGTCTATATATTATGCTTTTATATGGTTTCCTCTTATTTTTCTCTACTACAATGGCAGTTTCTTTTACACACAAAAAAATTGTTCTATAACTGCTTTTTATTCCCTCCTGTGTCTGTTGTTCATCCAAATTTCTTGCTTGTGTGTGTGCATGTGCGTGCTACAACTCCCAGCAGCAGACAGCTTAATAAAGGCTGAGATGCACAGTTCCTGGTTCCCATCTCATAACCTGATTCATGCTTTATTGGCCCCATGTGAAAAGTATAATGGAAACAAGCAATAACTCAAACACTGGGAAGCCTTGGCAGAAGATTTCATTGTGAGATGGTGACATGTCCCATGTGGGGTTAGTGTATGTGTGTGAGGAGGACTGAGTAATACATGCAATGGGTGGATGGGAGGGCTTGCGGTGTCGAGTGTAGTTCCCTGTCACAGTGTCCGACCAAGTTAACATCAGGGGAGCTTTTGCGCTTGCAGGCAGCATACAGTCAAAGGCCATTTTGTAAGTCTGTTCATTCAAACTCCACTTGCCAGAGGATTCACTACAGATGGTTTTTGATATAATCAAATATGACAAGGTTTCAGTAAACTGACCTCCCCCCTTTAATGTATAAAGGGAGTGTTTCCAGCCATTTGAAAGTGTTTTAACAAATTAAATCTAATCGCTTTTGTCCTTTGGGGATTAGCATGTGGAAGGATAATATCATTTCATTTTAATATGACTCAGATAAAATAAAAAAATATGAGAGCATAATTCTGAGAAATATTTCGATATCGTGCCACCTTATCAAGTTGAGCAATTAACACAAGGAAATTTGGGTGTTGAATGTCTTCTTCATAGCCATACTTTTTAACCACATTAATTTCGCAATTTTCCCGTTTGAAAAACTATGTAGGTAACAAAAGACTTATGGGTTCAAAAGTCCCCAATTATGTCTTTTTTTTTTTTGCTGAGAAAAGTCAGGCAAGAATCGTGTCTATGTTCCCAGCAGAGGATTAAACTTGTTTCCACTGCTGGTTGGACTTCTCAGTGGCTGCACCATGTCAGTATACCATTTATGTATTTTTATGCAGTAGGATTGCCAGGTATAGTTGTGCAGATAAGAGATCCTACTTGTGCTTTTTAAAGATTATGTGTTACTTTTGGCATCTTCAAGCCATTAAGTGAAGTGGTTTAGATCAGAGCCAGCTTCTCCAAGTCTGCGACCATGTTTCTCAACTGGGGAAAAAAACTGTAATTCTCCCTTCAGGTCAGGGGCTACTGTTTGTCTTGTGAATTCTAGAGTTTAGTCAGTTGTTTTTGAGGATTTTTGGGAGATAAATAAAATGACTGCTGCCTTGTGCAATGGTCATGGAATTAACTTAACAGCCAGAGATTGTTTCAGGATCAGTCCCTCTGGGCTTATCCCTTTTCAGGTAGATTTTACTATAAGGAGATTGTGTAATAGACTAAGAACTTCCTGGACAGAATGAATCTCTTCTTGACCAGGAACATTTCAAGAACTTCCAGAAAGAATGGATATGGTATGTGTTACTACTGTTCTTAGCCTGTTCTTAAAATTAGAGAAGGGTTTACGTTATTTATGCACTATTACTCCTCTTTTGATTGTTTGAGGTGTTTAATGACATCCGTATAAATACAGACTGCGGAAGAACCACAGTGCTGGTACTATTGGACCTCAGTGCAGCATT